AGATGAAATGAAAACATATATTAGAGAATGCCTCGCCTTTTATTCAATGCCTATTGCAAATTAAAGTCCACAAAGTAAAGACCCTTCTCCTTGCTAAATTAAAATGAGGAAAAACATTAAAAAAAAAACAACACTGTTTTATTTACTCCAGTTTCAGCAAAGAGATTAGGATCAGATGGAGCTATTAGTTCTCTAACAGCAGCTTCATCCTGGGCAGGCTCCCCAACATGGATGTGTTTATCAGCACTTTATTTGAAGGTAAATTGATCTTGTGTTTTCCTTCTTATAAATGGAAGTCAATAGAGAACAACAGAATTTATCTCAAACCAAATAATCTTCCCCAGATTCATAATGTTTTTACTAGCAAAATAAAATGGTAGTGTTTAAGTAGAAAACCAGAACAATGACATAAAAACATGAAATAGTAACTGTAGCTTTTCAAAGATGCTGAACTATATATTTTTTCAGAGTTCATCACTTTAGACTTACATTAAATGGAAAAATTATCTCTAATAATGAATTTTGACTTCATATTTCTCTTATGATGGAATGAAATCATGCAGTGAAATGTACTTTCTTCTCTTTCACATGATGACATAGAGAAGACACCGATCTCATCTTACAAATTGTAGCAGTTTGCAAATATTTATGAATAATTGGTAAAGTTTTTTTTTAAAAAAAGGAAAAACCTGTTCATTATCAATCAAGTAATTCCAGCACCTTCAAGATTCAGGACTTTTCTGAGATTTTCTTATTCTTATATGTCCATCTTTCATTTAAAATGATTTAACTTATCTGTTTGAATTTTATGTTCTAGAAATATCAATGCTTAACAAAGTTTGGACTCAAGTATATACCATCCACTGTTTTATTATCATTGTTCATCAAATGTATGTTAATGTTCTTATCAAAATTAGTAGCCTTGCATTTTCAATATTCCCAAGCCCTGACTACTCTATCTCTAAGAAAACTTTACTTAATTTTTAGTTCTGCTCTATCATGGCCACAGATGTTTCATAGTATGGAACTCCTTGGGTCAGGAATTTTCAAATATTATTGCATATGCCACTCACCTAAGGAGCTTTTAAAAGTACTGATCATGGGCTGGAGATATAGCTCAGTGGTGGAGACTGCCTAGAATATGTGAGACTCTGGATTAGATCCCCAGTATCACAAAACAAATAAGCAAAAAAAAAAAAAAAAAAAAGTACTGATGCCTTGGTGATGTGCCATCTCAATTAAATTAGGGGGTGAGAATCAGACATCTTTATTTTTTAAATGTCCTCTAGATGATTTCTATATAGAGCATGGTACTCAGAGAGCTATGAATCCCATGCTTTATTTTTAAATAATTTGTTTTTTTCTTTCTGCCTTACTCCAGTAAGACAAATTATCATTCAGAGAATGAGTAGTAAAATAAAAAATAAAAAGCGTGGAGGAGTAGTTCAGTTCTAGAGTGCTCGATGAGCCTGTGCAATGCCCTGGTTTAAATCCTTGGTACTGGAAAAAGAAAAAAAAAAGGAAAAGCAAATAAAAATTAAAATTGTGCACCAAAGATAACCAAGTAGATTTAAATTGAAACATCAAGCGATATTGTAAACCATGGTAGCTAATGAAGTAGTTTTTTTTTTTTTAAATGCTAGAACAAACAGAACATCCTACTTACCCTCAGAAAGAAAAATAGGCTATTTGGAAAGATTAGGAATCTGAACTGCTTTTAACTTCTTGATGGCAATACTGGAAAATGGAAGATAAAACAAGAATGTCTTCAAAGTTCAGAAGAGAAAACAATGTGCAACCAAAGATTTTCTACCAAACCTAATTAAACATTAAATGCGAAGTACCTTTTTTATGGTGTGTAAGATGAGGAAGCTCTGAAAAGCTTCACAGTCTTCTATGCCATTTTTCAAAAAGTTAATGAAAGATATGTTCCATTAAAATACAGTAAATCAAGAAAGAAGAAATGGAGACCGTAACAGAGATCCTACAAAACAAAGTGATGAACATCATTACCGTTATGATGTTTGGGAAGTCATTGAGTTCAAATATAGGATGGTGTCTTTGCCCTAGAGAACAAAGTTCTGGATTGTAAATCCAAAGGAAAATGAATCTGACAGAATATCAGATGAGTTCAAACTTACAAGTCTGTACATAATTTGAACATTTCAGAATTTGTGGATAAATTAATTATACATGTAAAAACACACTGTAAAATACAAGAAATTATTCTCAGGAAAAAGTCCATCAGGAAAAGAAATGTAACCATAATATACTATATTTACTTGTCACAATAAGGTAATAAAGTAAATGACAATTTAACAATATTTGATTAATAGGAGAACAGAAAAAAGATTTACAGGGTAGGGGTAAGTGATAAGGTATGAAGAAAAGGCTAAATCCTTGTCTTTGTGTGAGTATAGGAACATATGCCTAAAAGAGAAACATAAAAGTAGCAGAATAAACAGGTTATTTAGATAAATGGAACTAAATATTCAAGTGATCTCTTAAATGAGTTAAAATGGATTTTTTTCTTAAAAGAAGTAAAGGAAAAGATAGGGCAAGGGGCTACTATCTTTTTATAACAAATCTTGGAAATTTTAAATTAATTCTTATATTATATTCAGGTTAAAAAAAAACAAAATAAATTAAGCTTACTTACCAGATTATTTGCATTGCTTTATCTGAATAACTTAGGTAGAGTTTAAATCAGAGCTAATTTAATCCTACCACACAATATTTCCATGTTGTGATTTATGTAATTATCAGCTCAAACACAAAGATTGGGACCAGATAATTGAGTGCCTTGAAAGTCATATGAAGAAGATTGAGGAAAACAATGAGTCCTAAATTCAGATATGATTGTGCTATATACCACAGCTCAAGAATCCTCTCTGGACTTTAATGTTCTAATGTGCATGTGGTAGAATAACCTACTCTCAGAGTTATAACAGATTGAATGGTATTTATGAAGCAGCTGGTGCAGAATCTGGCAAAAAGAAGTGCTTGTCAATGTGTGGATTACAGCTTCTTTGGTGTGCATGGATTTTACACATTTAGTAATAATAAATGGGCTGGATAAAATATAAAATTCCTTGGATTTAAGATAAATGCTAACTCAGGTATTTAGAAGGACGTTCCAGAATTGTTAAGTGGAGTGTAAATTCACTCCTCCAAAATGCAACAAAAACACTGGCAAAATTGTCAAAATTAACTTTCAAAACTCTAAAACTTAAGGAAAAGCTTGCAGCAATCTGAGGAGTGTTTATTCAGAAAGAACTGATGCATTTCTTTAAGAACAGAAGGCATTTTAATTTGGACTCACAGCTGTACTGTAGCCTGGAACTCCAGCAGCTTTCTAGCAGACCAGGTTTGGAGCTCCTCAGAGAGTCCATCCCCAGACTTTATCACTATGAGATCTGTCTGGCAGCTCCCTGGAAAAACCTCAAGCATAGCCCTATTCAATAGTAAACTTGACTGAGAACTCATTTGGGAAGAATCTTTATCTCCAGTGCATTCATTGAAAGCAATCAGAAAATGGTTTTATGACACAGCTGCTTAAGGTTGGGGCAAATAAGAGCCTGAAAAAGAAATTCAGATCTGGAGAATTGGGCTGGAGGCATGGCTCAAGCAGTAGAGCTCCTGTTTGGCAAGCTTGAAGCCTTGAGTTTAAACCTCAGCCCCACCAAAACAAAATCTCGGGAATGAGATGTCTAACAACTCAAAAAACTCCAGTGTATTGTAATGAATGTAGAGTTTATATAAATACATACAGGACTATGTACATGACCAACATAGTCCTAAATGGACTCCATCTGCCTGACCTCAGCCTGTGTACTAGTAAGAAGTGAAGGGTAAGAGAAAACCTCCTGAGAGTTGAAGATACTGCCAAAGAAATGCAAACCTCATTGGCAGAGAGTGGATGATTGACAGACTCTAGGAATTCATTAAGGAAAGTCACTGAAGAGATTTCAGCAGCTGTATAGTATAGGAAAATATAGACTTCACAGAATTAGTCAGTAAGTAAGTCAGTAAACAACCAGCAAGAATTATAAAATAAATAAATAAAATAAAAACACCCAGAGTTGGAGGAAAGGGGGCTGAATTCCAGTGCTGTAAACTTATATTATCTAAAATTTCCAATTTCTACCAAATTTTATGAGTCATGTAAAGAAATGGAAAAGTGTGGTTCATACAATGGAGAAAAGGTCAGTAGAAAAGTTTCTAAAGGGGTGACAGATATTGGATTTACTGGACTAGAGATTTACAGAGCCCTTGGAGATATCTAGATTAAGGAACATTGAGGCCAAGAGAAGTTAAATGCATATGTAATAGCCAGCATCACTGTTCAAAGGAGATCTTGAACCTTGTGATTTTTCAACGAGATTGCTTATGGACTGATTCCCTTCAGTTTTGAGCATCTGTGTGTATATCAAGAAATATATAATATGTATGGGAAAGGAAAAAGGGGTGTTAAGGAAATAGAATAGAGGGGGTGAACTTGCTCATGATACACTGTACATATCCATGGAATTCTCAGATGAAATTCATTTTTATATTAATAAATCTTAAAAGAAATAAAATAATTTCTACCTTATCAAAAAAAAGAAAGAGCCAGGTACTGGTAGCTCATGCCTATAATCCTAGTTACTCAAGAGGCAGAGATTAGGAGGATTGCCAGCCTGGGCAAATAGTGCTGTGAGAACCTATCTCAAAAAAACTCTTCACAAAAATAGGACTGGTGAAGTGGCTCAAGGTGAAGGACCTGAGTTCAAGCCCCAGTACTGAAAAAAAAGAAAGAATTATTAGCAGGCTTGGTAGCGTATACTTGTAATCTCAGCACTCAGGAGGCTGATGTAAGAGGATCATGAGTTCAAGGTCAGCATGGGTCACATGGCAAGACCCTATCTGAAAAAGAAACTCTCTATTTTTCATTAATAATGTGAAGCCAGAAATTATTTGAAAAGTAACCTAACAGCTCTTGTGTTTTGAACTCTTTTTAGGTCCTCCAGTTAATGTCACATGCAACATATTCATAAACAGCTTTGGCTCTATTGCAGAAACAACCATGGTAAGCATGTTACTTGTTAACAAGTTTGCAATGGGTTAATTTGTAATCACAATAATGGAAACTTTTCTGCAAATGTGATGTAATTAAAAACTTAAACAAAATGAGATTTTAAAAGATTTTTACCTATCAGTGGAATAATTAACTGCAAGAAATAATGTTTCATTTACAAATGGTATATTGGAGAATAAATGTAAGTGAAAACAAGATTGATTTTTTTTCCCAGTTCAACAACCTAATGTTAAAAATCAAATTAAAGTCCTGTCATGTATGTTATTTATTTCTTTCCAGTGCTCTTTAATAATCAGACATGCTGATTATCTGTAAATACTTTGATATTTAATTATCCTGTATACTTACAAATTTATGACATTATTTTAAGTATTCTACTGGATTACTTTTTAAGTGAATATGTTACCTGCCTAAACATCATAAATATTTATACAAATCTGCATACTAATTTATAAAACTATAGCATATGCCTTCATTTAACAGTGCTATGTAATTGAGAACACTGCATGTAATCGTTATTAAGCCCCTAAAATAAAAAGGGATCATTGCAGATCAAATTTATTTTTTAATTGTATGACTTTCTCTAAAAATCACAGTGTATAGTCCTCTTCATCCTGCTGCATTTATTGTGAAATCTGGCTGAAATAAAGGGCAGAAATAAATCATTGAACCACTAAGTATCTGTAAGTCTATCAGCTAACTTTTTTAAAACTATGTATGATAGCTCTTAAATTACCTAGAATTATATTCTATTCCCAAATTTAGTAAGAGTAATTTGCATTAATTTTCTAAGTTGATTTTAACTAAAATATGGCATAAAAATACTTGAAGATCTAGTATTTTACAAAACAATCATGTCAGAATCACTGATAATGAATTTTCTAAAGAGAAATAATCTACCTTGCAAAAAATTGTGTGTCTGTGCATGCATGTGTGTGAATGTGTGTGTAGGTGTGTACATGTGTGTATGTGTGTGTACAGGTGCATGTGTTTATGTGTGTATATAAATGTTCATGTGTGTCTGTGTTGGGGAAGGAAATCCATGCAACAGGAATAGACTTCCAGGGACTGTTTTCTTCAAAATGCTGTCTCCCTCATTCATGCAGTTTTTAGTCATTTACTAACATCTCCGTGGTTCCATTCAAACTCAGTTTAACTATAATACAGCGTTAGTGGGGAAGAACAGAGCACATATTTTGGGGCATTACATAGAATTATCTTAAATACAGTATATGAGTTTAATATGACATGTGTATGAGTATAAACATAGAAAATGTATATAATTTGCTTGTAAAAGTAATGTGGTTCTTGCACAATTCTTTTTAATGCCAGTATAGTTACATTTCAAACTTTGGCACATTCGGGGTGCTGGTTGAATATCTGGTTCCGATTTACAGCTTGTATTTGTGCAAACTCAGTCCAAATCATCCAAAAATAAAGAAGCCACTACAGGCTTTGTTCTATGTAGATTTCCAAATTGTATTTATATCCCTGGCAAGTTTTCATTTTAATTGCTTCTATAGGTGTTGTATAATCCTAAAATCCTGGAAACATATTTCTCTATATTTCTTTTATGCATGATTGTTTCCACAAAATACTTTTTAAAAAAAAATTTTTTTATTTTATTTTTATTTTTTAATTTTTTAATTGTTTTATTGTTTTATTATTCACATGTGCATACAAGGCTTGGGTCATTTCTCCCCCCTGCCCTCACCCCCTCCCTTACCCCCTCCCTTACCACCTACTCCGCCCCCTCGCTCTGCTCCCCACCCCCTCAATACCCAGCAGAAACTATTTTGCCCTTATCTCTAATTTTGTAGAAGAGAGAGTATAAGCCATAATAGGAAGGAACAAGTGTTCCTGGTTGAGATAAGGATAGCTATACAGGGCATTGACTCACATTGATTTCCTGTGCGTGGGTGTTACCTTCTAGGTTAATTCTTTTTGATCTAACCTTTTCTCTAGTTCTGTCCCTTTTCCTATTGGCCTCAGTTGCTTTTAAGGTATCTGCTTTAGTTTCTCTGCGTTAAGGGCAACAAATGCTACGCTAATTTTTTAGGTGTCTTTACCTATCCTCACCCCTCCCTTGTGTGCTCTCGCTTTTATCATGTGCTCAAAGTCCTATCCCCTTGTTGTGTTTGCCCTTGATCTAATGTCCACATATGAGAGAGAACCACTCTGGAAAAAAATTTGGAGGCTACTTAAAAAGCTAAACATCGATCTACCATTTGATCCAGCAATACCACTCTTGGGAATATACCCAAAAGACTGTGACACAGGTTACTCCAGAGGCACCTGCACACCATGTTTATTGCAGCACTATTCCACAATAGCCAAGTTATGGAAACAGCCAAGATGCCCCAGCACTGACCGAATGGATTAAGAAAATGTGGTATCTATACACAATGGAATTTTATGCAGCCATGAAGAAGAACGAAATGTTACCATTTGCTGGTAAATGGATGGAATTGGAGAACATCATTCTGAGTGAGGTTAGCCTGGCTCAAAAGACACAAAATACTTTCAACAGCAATAGGCTTACCCACTCTATGGAGCTGGGGGAAGGGACTTGGGTAACAGAGTGAGCACCAATATCAAGTTCTGGAAGGTTTCTACTCTTTATGAGCTAATTCATCAGTTTACCAGTAAAGCGGTTATAATACATTGTATGACCTGATTGCATCAGCTAAGCTTATCAACTGTAATAATTTTAAAAGACATCCTTTATAGGATAATATTCTATAAAAAGTTTGCTGAATATTGCCAACACACTCCCATGGTGACTGCTGTGCAGTTTTGTTTTCCTTGTCCAACCCAGCACACCTGTCCACGCCACACACTCCGTCATGTATTTCCTCTGAAATCATCTCAGCATCCATCACTCTCCTTCTCACTAGCAGCATCAATAACACACCTTAGAGGTTAAGTACCAGAGATAACTATTTATACCATGGCATTTTTCTTCTCACCCTAAATGTGTGATGACATTGTTTCCTAAATAGATTATCCAGAGATGTCTACATCAGTAAAAATTGTATTTGTCTATATACATGATTTAGTGGAATCTTTAACCTACTGAAGATTCTTCTTAAAGTATTTTCACCTAAAAGAATTTTAGGCATCTAAAGATGCATAGGCAATATATGTAACACTAATGTACCTATCACCACCTTAAAAAATTAAACACAACAAGTAAATTGTAGCTGACTATTTACTCCAGCACAAAATATGGCTTCCCTACATTTTCAAAGGAAGCTTTTGTCACCAATATGAACTTCATTCTATGCATATGAAAATATAAACATTATTGATGTGTAACTTATTTTGTTTTGTCTAAGCTTATGGTTTTTGAGATAATCTATGCTCATATCTGGACTATTTTATTTATTTTCATTTCAGGAAGTAGCTCTATAGTGCTGGACATTTGTTTCAAATTGTTTTGCTTATACAAAATAATTCTCCATTGAAAAATCATTGCACATTATCTTCCAGTGCATACAATGCATACAATATGTTCTTCAGAAGAAGAATTACTTTGTTAACATATAAGTAAACTTCTCCTTCAGGTGTGGTGGCTCATGCCTGTGATTCCAGTTACTTAGGAAGATCATGGTTTGAAGTCAGTATAGATGAATAAAAGTTAGCAAGACCTTATCTCAAAGAACAAGCCTGATGTGGTGGGACACACCTGTAATTCCAGCCATGCAGGAGAATAGATAGGAAGATTGTGGTGTGAGGCTGACTGAGGCAAAAAGTCCAAGACCCTATCTAAGAAATAACTTTTTATTTTTATTTTTTTTCATTTTTCTTTTATTATTCATATGTGCATACAAGGCTTGGTTCATTTCTCCCCCCTGCCCCCAACCCCTCCCTTACCACCCACTCCGTCCCCTCTCTCTCTCCTCTCCCTCCCAATACCCAGCAGAAACTATTTTGCCCTTATTTCTAATTTTGTTGTAGAGAGAGTATAAGCAATAATAGGAAGGAACAAGGGGTTTTGCTGGTTGAGATAAGGATAGCTATACAGGGCATTGACTCACATTGATTTCCTGTGCGTGGGTGTTACCTTCTAGGTTAATTCTTTTTGATCTCACCTTTTCTCTAGTTCCTGGTCCCCTTTTCCTATTGGCCTCAGTTGCTTTAAGGTATCTGCTTTAGTTTCTCTGCGTTAAGGGCAACAAATGCTAGCTAGTTTTTTAGGTGTCTTACCTATCCTCACCCCTTCCTTGTGTGCTCTCGCTTTTATCATGTGCTCATAGTCCAATCCCCTTGTTGTGTTTGCCCTTGATCTAATGTCCACATATGAGGGAGAACATACGATTTTTGGTCTTTTGGGCCAGGCTAACCTCACTCAGAATGATGTTCTCCAATTCCATCCATTTACCAGCGAATGATAACATTTCGTTCTTCTTCATGGCTGCATAAAATTCCATTGTGTATAGATACCACATTTTCTTAATCCATTCGTCAGTGCTGGGGCATCTTGGCTGTTTCCATAACTTGGCTATTGTGAATAGTGCCGCAATAAACATGGGTGTGCAGGTGCCTCTGGAGTAACCTGTGTCACAGTCTTTTGGGTATATCCCCAAGAGTGGTATTGCTGGATCAAATGGTAGATCGATGTCCAGCTTTTTAAGTAGCCTCCAAATTTTTTTCCAGAGTGGTTGTACTAGTTACATTCGCACCAGCAGTGTAAGAGGGTTCCTTTTTCCCCGCATCCTCGCCAACACCTGTTGTTGGTGGTGTTGCTGATGATGGCTATTCTAACAGGGGTGAGGTGGAATCTTAGTGTGGTTTTAATTTGCATTTCCTTTATTGCTAGAGATGGTGAGCATTTTTTCATGTGTTTTTGGCCATTTGAATTTCTTCTTTTGAGAAAGTTCTGTTTAGTTCACTTGCCCATTTCTTTATTGGTTCATTAGTTTTGGGAGAATTTAGTTTTTTAAGTTCCCTGTATATTCTGGTTATCAGTCCTTTGTCTGATGTATAGT